CCCTGCCACTCTTCCTTTAGAAACCCAGTCCTTGGCTGGGTTCGCTGGCTCAGCCTGTAATCCCGCGCTTTGGGAGGCCGAGGTGAGTGAATTGCCTGAGCCCACTAGTTCGAGACCCACCGGGGCAACTTGGCGAGACCTCATCTCTACAATAAATCAAAAATTAGCCAGGCGTGGTAGCGCCTGCCTGTAGTTCTGGGTACTCGGAAGGCAGAGGCAGAAGGATCACCGGAGCCCAGCAGGTCTAGGCTGCAGTGGCCGGGAGCAGCCACTGCACTTCATTCTGGGCAACTGAGTGAGACTCCAACTCAAAAAAAAAAAAGAAACCCTGTCCTCTGAATATTTGAGGCAGATTTGTGTAATTTCTCCCAACTTCCTCACTCAGCTGCTTTGTGATTATTAAACTCTATAACTGTAATAACTGCATCCGTTTTGATTTTCTTGGGCAATGGGTGTAAAAATCCAGTCCAGCTGTAGCTCTCAAGCGATCCTCCTGCTTCAGTCTCCCAAAGTGCTGGGGTTATAGGCATGCACTACTACACCTGGCAGTATAAGGTTCTTTTGCTCAGCATAAGATTTAAGATTTATCCTTGTATAGCTATTAGGTTGTTTTTCTTTTAAGTTATCATTCCACTGCTTGGCTATTCTACATGTTTTTGGCCATCCTCCTGTTGATCGTGCCTTAATTGTTTGCTGCTTTTCAGTATTATGAATAAAGTTGTGGTGAAGATTCATGCACAAGCTTTTTTGTGATGATATGGTTTCATTTTTCTTGGGTAATTAGTAGAATTTCTCAGCATAGAGTAGATGCATATTTGGTTTTGTAAGACACTGCCAGATTTTTTCTCAAAGTGATTGTGTCATTTTGCAATTTCACCAACAACATATTCAGGTTCTGGTTTCCATACATCTTCACCAAGCTTTGGTGTTACCTGTCTTTTAAATTTTAACCATTCTGGTAGGTTTATAGTAGTATCTTGTAGTTTTCATTTGTATCTCCCAGGTAACTAATGTTGTGTTCTTTTTCATGTGTTCACTGGCCATTTTTCTATCTTATGTTGTAAAGTGACTGTTTGATTCTTTTGTGTTTATACTTTTTTGAGTTGTAGGAGTTCTTTATATATTTTGGATACTGGCACTTTGCCAGGTTTTTTTTTTTTTTGAATTGGAGGCTCACTCTGTCTCCCAGGCTGGAGTACATGACATGGTCACGGCCACCGCAGCCTCGTCCTACTGGGCTGAGGTGATCCACCTCAGCTTTCCAAGTAGCTGGAACTACAGGCTCACACCACCATTCCCGACTAATTTTTCTTGATTTATGATAGAGATGAGGTCTTGCCAAATTGCCCAGGCTGGTCTCGAATCCCTGGACTCAGACAATCCTCTCACCTCCACCTCCCAAAGTGCTGGGATTACAGGGATGGGCCACTGTGCCTGGCTCCATTTAAATTTTTTAACCAACATGTCAGTTTCTACTGAAAGTCTATTAGGAGTTTGGTTAGGGTTGCTTTGAACTGATAGAACAATTTGGGTAGAATTAGCTTCTGAACAGTATAGAGCTTTATATCCCAAAAAATGGTGTATTTCTTTTATTTAGGTCATCTTTAATTTTTTCAGTAATCATTTAAAATAAAGCCGTTAGGGTGGCCCTAGTCTATTATGACTGGTTTCATTATAAAAAGGGGAAATTTGGACACAGAGACAGATTCACACAAGGAAGAGATGTGAAGACACAATGAGAATACCTCATGAAGATGGAGGACTGGAGTGAAGCATCCACAAGCCAAGCAATGCCAGAGATTGTCGGAAGCCATCAGAAGCTAGGAAGAGGCAAGGAGGGATTCCCCTACAGGTTTCAAAAGGGTCACTGTTTTGGTGACACCTTTGTTTTGGACTCCCAGCCTCTACAACTGTGAGACAATACATTTCTGTCTTTTCATATCACCCAGTTTTTGGTACTTTGTTATGGCAGCACTAGAAAACTAACACATGTTTTCTTTTATTTTTGTAAAGTGGTTTACTTTTAATTTTTTTATTATAGTAAAATGTACATAACAGAATTTACCATCTTAATCATTTTTAAGTTTATAGCTCCATGTCATTAAATACATTTGAATTGTTGTACAATTGTGACCACAATCCATCTCCAAACTTTTTTATCTTACATAATTGAAACTGTGTACCCATTAAACAATAATTCCCCATTCATCTGTCCCCCAACTCCTGGCAACGACCATTCTACTTTCTGCCTCTGAATTTGATTACTCTAAGTATCTCATACAAGTGGAATCACACAGTATTTGTCCTTTTGTTTCTGGCTATTTTACTCTGCATAATGTCTTCAGGGTTCTTCTATGTTCTAGCATGTGTCTATGACTGAATAATATTCCATTGTGTGTATGTACACATATATATCACATTTTGTTTATCCATTCATTGATGGATACTTAACCATCTTTTGGCTATTGTGAATAATGCTTCACTTGAGGACTTTAACAGTTAGGAATATTCTAAGCTAGGGACTTTAAAACTATGGCCCAAAGACCAAACTTGACCCACACTTTTTTTTGTAATGAATTTTTATTGCAGTGCAGATACTGCATTTATTAGTTTATGTCTATGGGTGCTTTTGTGCTTCAGTGACTGAACTGAGTGAATTGATAGAGACCACATAGTCCACAAAGCATGAAATATTGTCTTTCTCTTGATAGAAATCCCTTTGTTATCATAGGATTTTAAATTTACCTCTATTTTATTCCATCATCCTGTATTAGAAGTGTAATAGAAGTGTAATCATGCTGTAATAGAAGTGCTGTTCCTCTTAACTACTTGAACTTTGTTTCTGGGCCCTCCTTTTTTTTTTAAAAATCCTTCTACTCAAACTTGTATGATCCACAGTGTTGTCTTTAATAGATCCTCTTTACTGACTGAATAAATGAGAATGTAGCATGCTTCATCCCTGCTCATATGGAGTTGGATCACTGTTTTTCATTTCTTCTCTGTTGCAGAATTAGCAAACTCCTGGCCTACAGGCCATATGAAGCATACAGGCATGTTTTCTGTGGCCCATCCAGAGCCAATATTTAAATGGGAAGATTTCACATTAAAATCTTGGTTTCTGGATTTTCTTTTTACTTGTATAAATGTATTGGGTAAAAGTGTAATTTTGTTACATGTATAGATTGGGTAGTGGTGAATTCAGGGCTTTTAGGATGTCCATCACCCAAATAATGTATGTCTGCCCTTTACCCATGACTGATTTTTCTTTTTCTTTTTTTGGAGTCTCACTCTGTTGCCCAGCCTGGAGTGCAGTGGTACGCTCACGGCCACACATCCTCAACCTCCTGGGCTCAGGTGATCCTTCTGCCTCAGGCTTCCAAGTAACTGGAACCACAGGCATGCACTACCACATCCAGCTAATTTTTTGATTTATTGTAGAGATGAGGTCTCACTAAGGTGCCCAGGCTGGTCTCGAGCCCCTGAACTCGGGCAATCCCCTCACCTCAGTCTCCCAAAGTGTTGGGATTATAGGCTTGAGCCACCATCCTGGCCTTGTTTATTCTTGAGAAAGCAAAAATGTGGCAGTGACAGTTCTGACTTTCCTGATTGCGGGAGTTGAGTAATAGCTGCCGTTTTGAACAGGTAAGATAGATGTGTCCCCTTTTTCTGGGTGTTCTCTTTCTACAGTGCCTTATTGTTTTATGAAATAAAATTCTTGTCAGATCTGCTGAAGATACACATGCACACATTTAGATTATTTTCTGTTCCTGAATTATCTTTTATTTCCAGGGTGAGTTTTTTCTCCCTCTTTTTGTATGGCTTACTGTTTCTCTTAAGTCTTGTAGATTTATTTCAAATGTCTTGTAATCTTTGAATGAGCTTTTATGGTTAAAAAGGAGGTCCTGGTAAAAAGCACTGTGTACATGGATGGTTATTGGTGACTGGCAAACAATGCTTAAGGTCAGGCAGGTGGAAACCTGACCTTTAGGCTTTGTCATCCCTAGCTGCCAGATTGCTCAGGGCTCTGCCTTGGGTCACCGCCACTATTGCCTTAGCTGCTCTGGCTCTCTCTAGATAGTTCAGTTTCTTTAAAGAAATATGCATGTGTGCGCCTGCACACGTATCCAGGAAGAGATGCCTGTCAGTCAAGGATTCTGATTTAACAATAAATTGAATTCTCCTGTCCCGTCCGTCTCCCCCTGCCCCACACGCATACATTGGATTCCTAGCTCCTTACACTCCTTGGCCTGAATTGCTCACTTGCAGATGAAGCAGATTTCCCCCACCTCAACTGTGGCCTTCCCTTCCAAGACTTGTTTTCCTTTATTCTGCTGTATCAGTCGTCTCTCTTTCATTGACTTCCTATTTTCTAGACACTTGTTAAAATTTGTTTATTGATTAACCCCCTTCACTAATCTCTTTGCTGTTGTAGGATTACATTTTTTAAAAATTCCCATACTGTGTTTTTTTGTTTTTTTTTTTTTTGAGTTGGAGTCTCACTCTGTCGCCCAGACTGGAGTGCAGTGGCCGTTCCCGGCCACCACAGCCTTGACCTGCTGGGCTCCGGCGATCCTTCCACCTCAGCCTTCCGAGTAGCCGGAATTACAGGCATGCACTACCACGCCTGGCTGATTTTTTGATTTATTGTAGAGATGAGGTCTCGCTGCCCAGGCGGGTCTCGAACCCACAGGCTCTGGCAATCCACTCACCTCAGCCTCCCAAAGGCGTGGGATTACAGGCTGAGCCACCGAGCCCGGCTCTGTACTGTGTTTTTAATGGAGTCTAGAGGAAGGGTTAAGTATATGCATCCACATACCGTTTTGAAACGAAACACCTCTTTTTAAAATGGAATTCTAAAAGAAGATATTGCTGTATTAATAACTGTGTTTTGTATTTGATTTAATTTTGTATTTTTATATTAATATAGATTTAATGAAAGACCAAAGTTACCCATAAAATTCTGTGTTGCCGATGTTATTTTCTTTTTTGATATGAAACAGCTGATGATTGTCAGCCAGTTCGCCTGTTAAGTCAGCCTGGGGAATTGAGAAGAGAATATGAAGAGGAGATAAGCAAGGTAGGTGTTAAATAGTGGCACTTTTGTCTTTTGAAAAATTTCTCTCCATGTTTTTAATTTCAGATTTTACATATAGTTTTATGTGCTTAGATAATTAATATATCTTGAAATGTAGATAATTTTAATGTACTTTATAAAGGCTTCATTTTTTACATGTGTTCAAAATGGTTATGCACTAGTTTTAATTTACTTAGGCATAATTTTGGAGGGGCCAGTTCTCTATGAACCTTAGCTTATGCATAACTGATGCTTTCTTATATGATAGTGATCCCTAAGCATTTAAGTATGAAGGGATTTTTTTTTTTCTTTCTTTCCTTTTTTTTTGAGTTGGAGTCTCACTCTCACCAAGGCCGGAGTGCAGTGGCATGCTCATGGCCACCACATCCTGGACCTGCTGGGCTCAAGTGATTCTTCCACCTCGGCCTTCCAAGTAGCTGAAACTACAGGCCCGCGCTACCACACCTGGCTAATTTTTGGATATATTGTAGAGATGAGGTCTCACCAAGTTGCTCAGGCTGGTCTCAAACCCCTGGACTCAGGCAGTCCTCTCACCTTGCCTCCCAAAGTGCTGGGATTACAGGCTTGAGCCACTGTGCCTGGCCGGGATGCTTTTGACTACAAATAAAATCGGCCAGGCATGACAGCTCACACTTTAATCCCAGCACTTCCGGAGGCAGCGATGGGAGGATGACTTGAGGCCAGAGGTTAAAAACCACCCATGGCAACAGAGGGAGAGCCTGTCTCTACAAAGAGAAAGGAAGGGAGGAAAGGAGGAAAGAAACAAAGGAAGGAAACCAAATTACATTACCTTAGTAAGAAAATTATAAGTAACTTGAATTCCAGAGTAGTATGGGCTTCAGGGTTGGTTTCTTTTAGATAACACTCTGTAGCTCCTTTCTGTGCTAGCTTCTGTGAACTGGCTTTATCTTCAGGCTAATAGCATAGTTCTCGACCTCAGATGCATACACAATATGTAGAGAAAAAAGAAGCGGTCTCTTCTTGTCTTTCCTTCAAGAGCAAGAAAATTTGCCCTTGTGTCCGTTTGTTTGAATTGGATCAAGGACTTATTTTTTTATTTTTACTTTTTTTGAGTCAGAGTCTTACTCTGTCACCCACACTGGAGTGCAGTGGCACAATTATAGCTACTGAAGCCTCGACCCACTGTGCTCAGGCAATCAATCCTTCCACCTCAGCCTTCCAAGTAGCTGGAACTACAGATACATGGCATCACACCAGGCTAATTTTTTGAATTATTGTAGAGGTGAGATCTTGCCATGTTGCCCAAGCTGGTCTCGAGCCCTTGGACTCAGGTAACCCTCTAGCCTCCCAAAGTGCTGCGATTACAGGCATGAGCCATTGTGACTGGCTAGGACTTATTCTTGAATCAACTCCTTTGGGTTGCTAAAGTGGTTCTTATATTATTATTTTAGGTAATATAGTTTAAATGACTCCAGGCACAGTTTTAGGTTCTAGAATTTGCAGAGTTTCAACTCTGCCACTTACTAAGCTGAGAAAGCTACTTGTGTTTTTGTTTTCTTTTTTTTTTTTTTTTGAGTTGGAGTCTCACTCTGTCACCCAGACTGGAGTGCAGTGGCACGCTCCTGGCCACCACAGCCTCGACCTGCTGGGCTCCAGTGATCCTTCCACCTCAGCCTTCCAAGTAGCTGGAATTACAGGTGCGCATCACCACACCCGGCTAATTTTTTTTATTTATTGTAGAGATGAGGTCTTGCCAAGTTGCCCAGGCAGGTCTTGAACCCGCGGGCACAGGCAATCCACTCACCTCAGCCTCCCAAAGCACAGGATTACAGGCTCTGTTTTCTTATCTGTAAGTCACATAATGGCCATGTGGTGATTTTTTCAACATCCATTCCACTCCTGCCTACTGTTTTTGGTTATTGATCCCAGTTTCAAGGGTAAGCACTGATTAGCCTGTCAGTTTTATCGTTATATCCCCTTTGACAGGGTTTGGTTCAGGCAGTTAGCTCTAAGTTTGTCTGTACCTGGCATTCCATCAACTGAGGAAAGTATTACCAAGAAACACACAAATTTGTGTCAGTGTAGTAGAAACTGCTTAAAGGTTGGAAAGAGGAGGAGTCTTTGATAATAGAGGTTTCATTGGGCTGACTTCGGAAGGCTTCCTGAGAGAGCCTTCTTCAACTATTCTGCAGTAATATGCCTCTCCAGATTTGTATTTCTCTTGAGATATTTACATTTCTATCTGGGCACAGTGACTTAAACGCCTGTAGTCCTAGTGCTTTGGGAGGGAGGGTGCGAGGATTGCCTGAGCCCAGGGATTTGAGACCAGTCTGGGCAATTTGGCAAGCTCTCATCTCTACAGTAAATAAAAAAATTAGCTGGATGTGGTGGCAAACACCTGTAGTTCCAGCTGTTTGGAAGACTGAGACAGAAGAATGAGGGTGTGGTAACGGTGAACATGCCACTGCACTCCAGCCTGGGTGACAGAGTGAGACTCCCAACTCAAAAAAAAAAAACAAAACAACACCAAAAATAAAAAAATTAAATTTCTGCCGATTTGTTTTCCCCTTAAAAAAAAACTTTTGTCTTACTGTTCTTATTAAATATTACTGATATACTAAAAAAGTTCAGAGAAGGATTGTTCTTTATTAATCATTTTTAAGGTGGAGGCAGAGCGACGAGCCAGCGAGGAAGAAGAAAACAAAGCTAGTGAAGAATACATACAGAAGTTATTGGCAGAGGAAGAAGAGGAGGAAAAAAGACAGACAGACCAAAGACAAAGAGAAATAGAAGAACAACTGAAAAGTGATGAAGAACTGGCAAGAAAGCTAAGCATTAACATTGTAAGTTTTAGGAGAGAACTTGAAGTATGGTCATCTCTCCATATCTGTGGTGGATTGGTTACAGGACCTTTGCAGAAACCGAAATCTGCGAATGCACAAGTCCTGCATTCTGCCTCGCAGAACCCCCTCATATGAAAAGTCAGCTTTCTGTATCTACACTGTGTTTCCCACCCGTGGTTGAATCCAAGCATGCGGAACCTGTGGGGACCGAAGGCCAAATACCAACATTCCTATTGATTTGACTGTGGTTTTCAAGGGGCTGAGGAAGCAGTGAGCACCACAGTTAGATGCTGTTGCTGGCATCTTTGTGTAAAAATTTTTTTGCATATTTTTACGTATTTGCTGTAATCCAGATTACTTTTTTTAAAACCTTTTTTGTATGTTATTAGTAAAATCAGATTATGTACGGAAGCTATTCAGCGAAGCATGGATAGCTTTCTTCCTCTTTCATCTCTTGACTCCCTTTCTTGTTATTATATGAATCTCTTCCCCCAAAGGTAATCACTGATAACTTTTTATAACTTTTTTCTTTATTCACCTAAAAAGTATTATATCAATCACATTGTTTCACTCCTTGCGTTTTTTTTTTCATATATCTTAGAGATTTTTCATGTCATTGCTTATAGTCTATCTAATTCTCTTTAAGAGTAGAATAATGTTCTATTTTATGGATGTAAATTGCCTTTTGAAATTGTGAAGAACATTAAGTTGTTTTTTTTTTTTTCAAGATAAAGTCTTTATTGGGCTCAGACCAGGAGTCCTTGTGTCTTGAGGACTTCTGTATTTCTCAGTTTTCTTCTCCACATTCTTTTCAGCCTATTTCAGTAGCCTCATAAGCTGTTTTTTCTTCTCCTTCCTCTTCAGGGTGGCTGTCATTGCCTGGTACTTCTAGCTAATTTTGTGACCCAGGTGCCACATTAAATTCTTAGGTAATATACTAAACCTAGATTTCATTATCTTCCTATAGTTAAATTACTGCCTGTGAGAAAATGAAAGAAAGGATGACAAAACACATTCTTGAAGACCAAAGGATCAGTGGGACCCAGTGGGTTGAAAGAACCTGGCAGAATCACCTAGGGCTCTTTTAAAATATAGACTCTCAGCTAGGCTCGGTGGCTCAGTCTGTAATCCCGTGCCTTGGAAGGCTGAGTTGAGTGGATTGCCTGAGCCCAAGGGTTCGAGACCTGCCTGGGCAACTTGGTGAGACCTTATCTCTACAATGAATCAAAAAAATTAGCTGGGCGTGGTAGCGCGCACCTGTAGTTCCAGCTACTTGGAAAGCTGAGGTGGAAGGATCGCTGGAGCCCAGCAGGTTGAGGCGGCAGAGACCGGGAGTGGCCACTGCACTCCAGTCTGGGCGACAGAGTGAGATTTCAACTCAAAAAAAAATAAATAAATAAAATAAAATAAAATATAGACTCTCATACTTGCTCTAAATCTACCGAGTCATAATCTCTACAGGGACACCTAGGGTATACCATCTCCAGAGACATCTAGGGAAGCCTAAGACGTACAACAATTCCTCAACTTTCAAACAAGTATCTTAAAATATACTTACTAAATGGAGTATACCCACAATTAAGAATTCTTTTTTTTTTTTTTTTTTTTGAGTTGGAGTCTCACTCTGTCGCCCAGACTGGAGGAA